GCCAGCCAGCCAGCCAGCCAGCCAGCGAGACAGACAGACAGACAGACGGACGGACGTTCGGTCACACCAGTGGCTGGCTATCAAGTTGCAACCTACTTATACCTACCAGCGCTCGTGAGATCTCGTCTTGGTCAAGAAGCGGGCAAGCAGGCGCGCGAGTCTAATCACACGGAGAAGATGAGATGAGGTTAGACGGGAATAGCCAAGAGGACAAGAGAGAGGAAAGACTAGGAGCGACTATGCCCTCCCCCTAGCTACCTATCCACACGCACACACACACACAGAGAGCATAGAGGCACGCAGCCAGGCAGACAGGCAGACAGGAACGCGACGCGACATCCATAAAGCGCAAAGCGTAAAGTCCTGCTGGAAATATAATGAGGCAAACAATACAAACAGGCAAACAATACAGCCATCCGGGGACACGGACACACCCCCGCAACGCATGGCTGACCAGCCGGCGACCAGCACACAGAGACACACATGAGCAGGAAGATGGGCAGACAGACAGACAGACAGACAGACACGCCTCACTCACTGACTACACGCTTCCTACCGACGGACGGACGGCCGTGCGTATGCAGGCCGCCGCCGCATAGAAAGCGACAAAAAACTTCCCTTCACCCCTCCCAAGGCGATGGCTGATGGAACGGCACGACAGACGAGACGAGACGAGACGAGATGAGATGAAATGGGATGGCATGATGGCCATGGTTATACGCTAGAGACTATGATCTAGGTCTATCAACACAAGGCAAAGGCACACTGAGAGCGAGGGAGGGAGGGAGGGAGGGAGGGACGAACGAGTGAGTGGCAACAGAAACCGACAGAGAGATACAGAGCCAAAGGGATGGGACGCACCAGCCAGCCAGGCAGCCAGCCAGGCAGCCAGGCAGCTAATGCGCACCACAAGCACCGCACCCATAGCTTAAACTCCGATCCATCCAGCCAGCCAGCCCTTTCCCGTTCGCCGTGCATCAACCAACCAATGATTGGTCCAGTACTGTAGGAGAATAATCCCTTCCTTCCTCTGTTTGGCTGGCCGGCCCTCCCACCCGCTCCCCTCTCTGAAGCTGACGGATGACCTAGCGCTATGCATCAAATCAACCACACACAGACACACGCTCATGCAGCAGCAGGTGGCAGACATCCACATATAGGTAGAGGAGTGCGGCACCTCCTCTCATGTCTCATGTCCCAACCAACACAGACAGACAGACAGACAGGCAGACAGACAGGCAGGCAGACAGACAGGCAGACAGACAGGCAGACAGGCAGGCATCACAGGCACTACGGTACCGACACACACATTGAGTGGAAGAGGGACACAAACAAGGCGACAGAGCCCCCCGTTGACACACACGTCCCGCCTTTCAAGAGAAGACACATGAATCTGCGTCGGTGGGCGCGGCGAGAGTGCCTCAGTGCCGAAGAGAACATGTGGCGAGAAAGTGCAAGCGTGGTTGAGAAAATGGGAATCAAGTGGACGGAACCTCACACAGACGAAAGCCAGCGACCAAGCCATAGCATAGATCGAGGGGAGAAGGAGTGAAAAACATGCATGCCGCACACAGCTGCGCATTGCACCCCACACACAGTATGCGCTCGACTCGTCTCGTCCTCTTCTCCCCTACCCCCCGCCCCGCTCCGCCCCGCCCCACCAGACACACTCCCACACACACAGGCCCCTAGCACTCATTTTATCGTTCCTTCACAGCACCCACTATGGTGCGTGCCCGGACACCCACTGCAAAAATCGGTTGGAGGTCCAGCCGCCGAACAGGCCAGGCCAATCACGTGCCTTCGCGTGACCAGCACACCATCCCCTCCCGCCATCCATCTCAGGGAGGCAGGCAGGCAGGCAGGCAGGACTTCCGTGTGTGTCACACCACAGGCAGGGAGACAAAAAGAGCGTCGGCCATGGTTGATGAGTCAGGGCATCATGGTGACTAGCCAGCCCGTCGTGGGCTGGCTGGCTTGCTTGAAACGATCGGCCGACACATCCATCCATCCATCCAGTAGGTAGTGCACGATGCAAGACAGTGTGTGTGGCGTGTCGTGCAGCAGCTTAAAGTGGGCAGCTGGTGGGTGGGTGGGGCGGTCCTTCCTTCCTTATTGCGATCGATGAGTGAGTGAGTGAGTGGGCGCGTAGAGGCGAAAGAAGTGAGCAGATGCAACCAACGTCATGAATTCGTCTGTGTGTGTGTGTGTGTGTGTGGCGTGACACGGCAACACCGCCGCAACACAGCCATGTGAGCATCAAGGCAACCAACAAACCAGCAGCAAACAAGCAGCAAGAGCGGGTCAGCAGCAGCAGCCAGCCAGCGAGCAGCTCACCCCCTGTCCTTCCTCCCTCGGCCGCACCGCAAATGCGGCCCCCCGCATCAGTTTGCCAGCTCGCATCTCCGCCCCAACTGCCCTGCACACCCATCGGGTACCGCACCGCAGCGCACCGGGCACTCAGTGAGAAACAAGGACAGGCCCTGCCCGCCTCTGTCTGGGCGTGCAGCCTTGATCCAACAGCACCGCCTCACCAGCCGCCCTTGCCGCATCAAACAAGTGTGCAGCTAGCCTCACTAGAGAGCCCCGTGTGCACCATTTCACCGCAATCGAGCAGCAGCCAGCAGCCAAGGAAAAAGACGAAAGTGACCGTCATTTGTCGTGTCGTCTGTCCGTCCGTCCTAAGCGCTAAGCACGAATTCCTAAGGATCTGATCTGATCTCACCAACAACCAGAAAACAATACAATCCGGTCGGTAGTGTAATACGGTGCGATACGATTACGATACCATGCAGCCCTCTCCCCCCTCCCATAGGCACCCCCCCACACACACAGACAACCCTCCTACGAACGACTGGCTGACGAGAAAAGGAGCACACAGACAGCCCCTCCCCACCAAGGCCTGACGAGAAATATAGGTACCCTCCCCCAATCCCATCCCCCCGCCGCACCCCCTGACCCACGTACGTGCGTGGCGTGCGATGTGATGACGTGTCATGACTGACGGTGGATGGCGCTGGGCAGCGCAGAAAAATGCGACGAAGGAAGGACGGACGGACGGACTGGCAGCCGGCCGGCCGGCTGGCTGCACCAGCCGCAGCCAGCCAGCCAACCCGCTTGCCCGCCTGGTCGCTCTCACACTCTCACTCACTTCTCTCACTCATCAGACACTCTGACTGACAGTCTCCCTGACTCGGCTGCTACTGCTACTCTTCGCACACACAGACAGACAGACAGCTGGGGCCGCCCCTCCCTAGTGTCACTCACGAGACAGACGAGAAATAGATCCGTGAGATGGGGTGCGATGAATGGATGGCGGGATTGATGGCGAAAGGGATGGCGACACACACGACAGACAAACAAACAAACCGGCGAAAAAGAAGAACAAAGGAAATGATGGATGGATGGACGTGTGAATGACAAGAGTGAGCTTAGCTCTAAAGATAAGATGCTCGTACCAAGGCTGGATGCACGCGCACACCACACCACACCACACCACACCGCTCAGCATAGAGGGAGGGACACACACACACCGGTGGGTGTCCGGGGAGGGGCAGGCAGGCAGGAATGGGACAAAAGATGATAATACATGCATTGCAGGCAGGCAGGCAGGCGACGTGGTGTAATGAATGCGATGGCATGTGTGTGTGTGTGTGTGTTAGCCGCACCACATCACAACGGGCGTATGTCCGCTCCGCACATATTCGACAGTCAAGAAAGTCCCGAAAGGCACCGGCAGGGAATCCACCAATCCACCACGGCAGCACCGTCAGAAAAGCCCAACACAGACAGACAGGTGGGTATCCGCAGAGCATAGCATAGAAGCGATGTGTGTCGTGCACTCACTGACTCACTCAGCCCGTCTGTTCCCTCCCTCCCTCCCTCCCTCCCCCCCCTCATGCGCCACACAATCACCGTTCGAGAACCGACGTAGAAAGTTCTGTTCGACCGACCGACTGTGCGTGTGTGTCGACAGTTCCAATTCGCAAACCAACGTAAAGACCGACAGGCGGACACGGGTGTGAAGGTCAACAAGTGGGTGAAGGAGTGAGTGAGTGAGTGAGTAGGCACGACCAAGCGGGGGTGGGGGAGCGAGTGTGTTCGAGTGCCGGCTCCAGTGTGCCCCCGTGATGAGCTCCCGTGAGCTGACTTGATAAACAACCAGCACAACACCCGTCAAGACACACACAGAGAGAGAGGGGCCCATCCCATCCCTGCCACCCACATCCATCCAAACAAGGCATACAGCCCTCCCCCCCCCGCCGCCCGCCTCCCCTCCCAGTGTGCTTCATTGTCTGCTTGCGGTGCGGTGCGGTGCGCCCCACGGATAAAAACATCGGGCGGCTGGGCTGTCCGACCCCCCGATGGCTGGCTGACCTGGATCACTCACTGCTGTCCGTCCGTCTGTCTGTCTGTCTGTCTTTGCCCTCTCACGCGCCATGCTTGACACGGGCCAATACAACGAACGACAGACTCACTTGACAAAAGACCATTTTCGGTCACACGCACACGCACGGCCGCACCGCACCCATCAGTCACACACAACGATAAAGTTGGCCAGCACCCTCCTCCCTCTCCTCTCGTCCCTCGTCCCGCTCCCTCGCTCAGCTATGCGTGTGTGGTGTCTGTGTGTCTGTGGTGTGTGCTGTGTCTGTGTGTAAGTATGGTGGCAAGCCGTGTGTGTCACGTGTGTGCAGTGAGTGCATCGGCCGGCCTCTGTCAGACCAGCACGACACAATGCCGGCTGGCTGCTGACAAACAAGGCATGGCGAGGCAAGGCGGGGCGAGGTGGGTCTACAAATGGAATGGAATGAGATGGATGGATGGATGGATCATTCAGCTGACAAGCCCCCACACAGCACACACAACATACAAAACCCATCTCACATCTCACATCTCGCCCACACGGCCTCTCAACCAACCAGCAAACAAACAGACCAACACCCCTCCCTCCCTCCCTCCCTCCCTCCCTCCCCCGTCAGATGTCCTCGGCGGCGAGAGGCGCGTCGGCGGCAGGGGTGTGCGTGCTGCACATCGGTGACTTGGGCGCCTTGCATCTCGCAGACGTCCCAGGGTGATGCACCGGCGTCAATGGGGCAACGCACTCGCACTGAACAACACAAAGGAGCGACGCCCAGTCACCATTCATCTGGCCGTGTCCGTGCCGTCATCCTTATCTCACCTCTCCACCGATGGCCTCTTCTCCCGTGAGTTTGGGGTATGGCGGCAGCCTCAGCGGACCCAACGACCGCACCACACCGCCACCACCCCCTGGCCGCTCACTGGGCGGCCACCGACCGTTGTCGATGGCGCCGTGGGCGACCAGCAGGGTGAGAATGGCCTCGTACACGGCGGCAGCCGACGGGTGGGAACGCATCAACCTGATTGAAACACAGCAGGGATTGGCATGGTGTGCTCGTGTGGGTGGGTGGTTGTGATGGTGTCTGTCGGTGTTGTCCAGTTAAGTACTTACGTGTGCGCGAGTTGGTACGGTGTGAGTCCCCCGCCCACGTCGGCCATGCCACTGAGGGGGAGGTTGGGGTCCTCACCGCAAACCGACAACGCCTCGCGCGTGCCGTCAACGTCGCCGCGCAGGATCGAATCGTGCAGGCATGACACACGCCTGATGGATGACAAAACAACAACAAGACATCCGGTGAGCATGTGCACCGCCCTCCCTCCCTCCCTCCCTCCGACTCACTCACCTGGCACCCATGGGCGTCTTGGGCGTCAGTGGAGGCATCCCCTGCCTCCTCGTGGGCGTCACGAAGCCATCCCCCTCGCGAGACACACCCCACCCTCCACACCCAACACCGCTCCTCTCGCCCTCATGCTCATCGTCATCTGCCTCCACGCCCCACGTGTCCTCATGCACCACCGAGGGCGGCGGCAGCGTCTCGCGAGACAGGCTGGCCAGCGACGGACGGGTGGCCGTCCTTATGCTGCTGCTGCTGGTGCTGGTGCTGGTGGTGGTTGTGGTGCTGATGGATGTGGTCCGTGCCAGTTGGTCCATGGTGCGTGTGAGGCAGAGAGAGGGGAAGGGGAGGGGGAGGGAGGGCCCACTGGCCCGCGTGCATGAGTCAGTCATCGCCACTCGATATATGCCTGACTCGCCTCAGTGCTGTCGCTTTTCAGATCAGTCCTGTGGTCCGTCTGGCAGTCAGTTCGCCGCTGTGCGCATGAGACCAGGGAAGGCGCCGCTCCTCGCAGATGCGCTGTGGTCCTCCCTTGGATGGTGCGGCTCTATGCTCAGATGCGCCAGACAGGCGAAAGATGCGAATATGGTCGAAATACGAGAGATCGAGGCCTCAGGGAAAGAGAGAAGCGCCAGAGGTGCCCAAAGAGCCCGAAAGTTGAGCTCGCTCATTCATTTGGTGCTCCCTGCTGGTCCTTGGGAGTCGCGTTCAAGGCCAACGTGTGACCAAATGAGGCGTCCATTGGTCATGGTTCATAGCATCTTCCAGCATCTTTCAGGGGCTGAGCGGACCGCTGGTCTGAGGATGCTGCTGCACAGCAAACACACCCTGACACAAGCCAAGAAGCCCATCTCTTCTGCACATCTCGCGGTGACACCCACCGCCTCAACAGCAGCTCCTACATCCCTGCCCTCTGTTGTCATCCCAACTTGCCAGCGCTCGGAGCTCCAATCATCATTCCATCGCCCTCAGCCTTATTGGTTGCCATTCGTCGGCGCCGCTGGGGCCTTATCGTTGGCTATGGCGATGCGACGGCATTTGTGTCACTGTGAGGAAGCCGCTGCGGCCGAGTCAGATGAGCCAGCAGCAGCACCAGCACCAGATCCACCACCTGTTCAGTCCGACAAGCTGACGTACTTTCTGCGGCGCCCTGCACTGTGGGCTGAACGGACCATTCTCCTCATCGGTCTTGGGGACGTCAAGACCGGCCCCCTGGTGCAGCTGCTGGGCGCTGAGGGCGACAAGAAGGTCAAGAAGCACATGACAGAGTATGAGAAGGAGAGGGAGGCCGACAGGAGGCGACAGGCGGCCTGGCTGCCCGTGCACGACAAGCGGTTTCACTTCCAGCTCATGTCGATGCACGTCGTGGGGGCCGACTACCTGCCCGACAAGGTCTTGGCGCACGAGGACAAGATGGCCGTGCTCGCCGAGGCAGCCAAGAGGGCGTCGGAGGGGCTCCACGCCATCGCACTTGTCGTGCCTGAGACCGTGGATGCCAGCCAGGTTGACGCCTACATCCACTACGCCGAGTCGATTACCGGCCAGGGGTCGCTCGAGCAGCACGGCGTCATCGTGCAGATGACCACCAGCGACAAGCCAGCCCCACCCCCGGCAGACATCCCTGAGAAGCTGCGAGCCAAGGTGAGCGGCCGGGTCATCCCGTTCCGCGCCATCCCGGCTGGCTCTGTCAACATGGACGGCTGGGTGTTCCGCACATGCCGCAGTGTCCCCGGCTGGGTGGCGAGTGTGGTGGCTTTCGTGGCCCCCCTGCCTCTGGTGCAGTACCTGTCGTCTCGGCACTCTTTGCTGTGTCAGCTGGGCCGCATCTGGCGGGCCAACTCTTACCACGCCGTCGACAACGAAGTGCTGGCCAAGGCGCGTGAGGTGATGGCTATCGTCAACGAGGAGGTAGAGTACCAGCGGCAGGTCGCCAGGAAGATCATCGAGAGCTACAGGCAGACGGCGAACCAGAAGACACGGGACGCGACGCACAACATCAACCATGTGGACCCTTCGGCTGTCTACGACACACAGAAGATTGAGCACAGGCGCAATATTAAGAAATGGATAGAGGAGATCGAGGACGCCATCGCCGACCCCGACGTGTCGCTGTCGCCGCGACTCATCGCCCTCGAGAGGGAGCTGCGCGGCCTCATTAAGACCCGCATGCCGTCCTATCTGGTGGACCACCCCGACTACCGCCCCCCAGAGATCGACACCCGCACAGTGAGGCAGGCGGGGGAGCTGACGTACTCCGACCTTGATAGAGTGGTCAAGTGGATGGCCAAGGCGCCCATCCCGGTGCCTGGGGAGGTCATGCACCGCGACGTCTTCACGGGCGCGCTGATGCCGAAAGAGGACGGGTCGTTCCCCGACCGCTATAAGAAGCTGACGAGGGAGGAGATACTGGAGGCCAACAGGAGGGTCAACCCAAACTCGAGGCACATCCCTGCACACGTTGAGGCTCTCGGTATGGGGGATCGTGCGTGAGATGCCTGACTTGACAGATGATCGATGGATGGATGGAGGGGTGGATGGATGTCATCGATGAATGCTCTGTGTGCGCCGCGCCCACGCCCTTCACATTCAGTCGGACGAAATGTCACTCACTCAGCCAGCCAGCCACCTCTTCAGCCGCACTTCAGTCAGTCAGTCAGGTCAACAAACACATATATCGACGGTCCGTGCACTGCACTCACTCACGGACCAACCAACGTGCACATGCTGGTTTATCTATCTCTTCATTCACTCGTTCAATTCAGTCATCGGTTGGCGGGCAGGTCGTGGAATGAGACCGACAGGCCCTGCAGGAAGGTGACGTAGTCGATCTGCGTCAGGTCGGCCTGCGGCTGCACGAAGGTGATGCACCGCTCGACATCATCCAAAGGAAACTCGTAGCCTAGTAGACACTCAACAGACACACCGGCGTTCGTGTCTCCCTCCCTCCCTCCCTCCCTCCCTCGCTGTTGGTGTGACTGTGTGCTGTGCGTGCGGACCGACCGATGTTCTTCATGGCTTGTTGGACTTGCTGCGAAGTGACGTGTTTCTTGGTTGTCATCATGACAAACTCCTTCAGCAGCTTCGTCAAGGTCTTGTTGTGCGCATAAAACACCGACCTGCACAGCACAGAGAGAGACACATCCATCGAGGAAGGAATGGGACAACCAACCAGACAGACAGACAGGCAGGCGGGCTTACTGAATCTGCCTAACGGCGCTGCGTGTCTTTTGTGCCTCCTTCAGGTCGGCCGTCGACTGCTGCACCTTGTCAGCGTACTGCTCGTCGGGCTGGATGGCCATCGGCGACAGGCGACAGAACGCTCCATGGCTCATCTCATCTACGTGGCCATGCTTCGCTGGTTCATTGCCTACCGTGGTCCGCACTGGGAATTTTGTGTGTGTGTGGAGCATTTCGCTTGACCAGTCCTTGTCGAGCAGCACGTCACAGAACTCCGTGTACGTCACCTGGTTGGGTGGATGGAGGCATGATTGATCACTTGTGGAGAGAGAGAGAGAGAGAGAGAGAGAATTGTTTCGACTGTTTGCCTGACCTTTCCGTCTTGGTTGAGGTCGAAGTGGCGCATGACGGCCTGGATCTCCTGCAACCAGACAAAACAGCACTCTTGTGTCTCTCTGTGTCTGTGTTATGTTGTGCGCGTCAGGCCCCCACGCACCTCATCAGGCAGGTTGAAGGCGAATTTCTGCATGCCCTTCTTGAACTCCTCAAACGTCACCACACCATTCTTGTCCTGCACACACGCACGCATGTCAGCTACCCGACCGACCCATCGGTCCTCCCTCTCTCCTCCCTCCTCCCTGGCCTCGTTACCTGGTCGAAGAGCCTGAACATGTCTCTGACAAGAGGTCGCTGGTTCTTGACGCCCTCCCGCAGCTTCTCCACCACCGATGTGACGTCGGTGTTGGGGTAGGGGGGCGGCTCCTCGTCCAGCCACTTTCGCGTGTACGTGTCCATGCCCTTGACGTCGAACCAGTAACCGCTCACCTTGACGCCGTCACTGCATCACACACCACACACACACACACACAAGGCCGGCCGGTGGGAGCTGGGGCGGGTGCTGACCCTTCCTGGAAGTCGCGCGGTCCAAAGTTCTTGCCGGTTGCCTCGTTGAAGTACTTGCCCCGCTGCAGGAAGCGGCCCTGCACAATGCCAGAGTTCCTATACGCCACACATACAGGACAGGATGATCAGCCAACCACAGACATACAGACAGACAGACACACAGATGTGATGTACCTCTTTGGGGGCTCGTGAATCATGAGAGTGTCGTCTGAGAGGTAGAAGGCGATCACGAACTCCCTCTCACGGTCCTCAGGCTTGGGGTCGCGCAGCTTGGCAGTGAACCGCAGAATCTACCATACCATCCACAACCACAGACACCCACTGGTCTCTCTCCCTCCCCGGTGTGCATTGCATCATGTGTGTGCGTACAACGCCGTCGTTGTCCATCATCTTCTGGAGGTCCTTGCGGGGCGGTTTGGGCAGCAGCGACTTGACACATGCCAAGGAGTCCTCCTGAGTGCCGTAGCCGGTGGGCGGCGGGGTGGGGCGCCGCGGCCACGGCTGCTGCGGCAGGTCCATCTGGATGCGCGGCTGCAGCTCGACGCCCAGCTCCTCCCTGCAAGTTTGTGCTGTGCGTGTGTATGGGGTGTGTGTCTGTGTGTGGGTGTATGGGTGTGGCTATGTCTCTGGTTGATTGCCTGAAGTATCTTCTGGTGAACTCGTCGGCGTCGAAGATGTGGAACTCAAATTTGAGCAGCTTCATCGTCTTGCCCACCTGCCAAGCCACCACGGCACCCACCGATAGAGCGTCTGAGTGGTCATGTCTGTCCCCCATCCCTGTGTGTCAAGGTGGGAAGAGCTGAGCTGACCAGGAAGTCGGTGACCTTGACGTAGTCTTCGGCTTTGGGCATCGTGGCCATGGGACTGCCGAAATCCATCTTGTCTGAACACGGTGTGCAGCCATAAGGGAGACACACGTGAGAGCGGATGCAGTGCAGTGGTGCAGTGGTGCAGTGGTCACCCCTCGGGAGTTTCCGTCTTCGGAAGAATATGGGGAAGCTGTCACGGCCACAGTTGTTGGGGTACATCTCGCGAATTTCCACCGAATTGTCGCTGCACGTTTAAACAACGGCATGGCGTGTTTGTCGTGCCAGTCAGTTCCACTGTGTGTGTGTGTGTGAGTGAGTGAGCGAGGTGCCCACTGACGCGAGGAAGTAGAGGATGACGAAGGGGCGTCTTTCGAAGATGGGGGTCGTGACGTCATCCATCATGGCGTAGAAGCGACACACCTATGAGACAGACGTGCAGGCAGGCAGGCCATCGTGACTGACGGTGTCTCCCTCTTTTTGTCTCTCCCGCTACACTGCCACGTGGTGTGCGCACTTTGCCGTCGAGCTCCAGGAACTGCTGCATGTTGGCATTGATGTGCCCGCCACCCAGCTGCACCTCTCGGTATCTGCACATCCGCACACACACACACAGACAGGCAGGCAGGCAGGCACAGAGGGAGACAGGGAGAGGGAGGAGAGGGATGTCATGATGGTTGGTGCCATGGTACTTGTCATCCGACCGACCTCTTTTCGTAAGTGATGGGCATGTGCGGGCTCCTCTTGTCGAGGAAGAGGCGCTTCTCAAGCACGGGGTCGCCCTGCATGGGCATCGACTCGGGCTGCGGGATGCCCTCGTGGATGTAATACGCCTGCAACACACACACAGGCAGGGGAGGGGCACTGGCGATGCCTCTCAAATAATGCCTCTCTCTCTCTCCCCGCTTGTGTGTGTGTCAGGCAATAAATACGCACCCTTGTGAAGTGGTCGCAGTCGGTGACCATAAATGTCTTTCCGTACACAGTGATGGGGCGGCCGATACGCAGGTCTTTAGGCGTGAAGTACCGGCCCGTCTTGTCGCTGTACGGAATCCTGTGCCTCCGCACCAGCACCCCCTGCACACAGAAGAAAGAAAGACCCATGTTTCCCTCCCTCCCTCCCTCCGATCCCTCCATTAACCAACCTGTGGAATGCCGCTGTTATCAACTTTGGGCTCGCCGATGTGCACGGTGTCGTCCTCGAGGTAGTAGAAGAAGACGCATCGCCGCACCCGCCAGTTCTCGAGGCCCGACTCGTCCACGGGTTCCTTGTAGTAGCCGTAGAACCGCAGCACCTGCTTGTCCAGCGCCTCCCACGCCGGCAGGTTGTCGTACTCCTTCTCGGCCGTGTTAAAGATGGCCCGTGTTGTCGACAAAGGCAGCTCCTCGCCATTGCGCCACTGGTTGGGGGGCCTGGCCATGCAGCCACACACAGGGAGGGGAGAAGCGTCAGTGCAAGGTTGCCGTATCGGTCTTGTGTTGTGCTGTGGCTCCTCTCTCTCTCTCTCTCCCTCTCTCTGACTTTGGGACTTGCACAAATCTTGGTCTGTCGTGTGTGTAGCCCTCGTCGAACTCCACCCGCTGGCCGCCGGCATAGCCCCACCGCTGCATCTTGTTGTTCTTCTGCAGCACCATTGAACCAACACAACACATGCACCGACAATCCAGTCCTCTCCTGTCCTGTCCTTTTGCTCATTTGCACTGTGCGTGTGCACAGGAGCTGTGTGACGTACCTCTTTGTGTTGTGGGAGTGTGAATCCGGGGAGGCATGGAACTGCAGTGAGGTCGAGCGGCGTGGTGCCCGCGGTGCCGGGGCCCCTGGTGTTGGCGCCCGTCGGAGTCGGCACGTACTTGGCCATGGCGGAAACAGCACGCCTTTCAAAAGACGGGGGGCAAGGGGGGGCCGCGAGCGCGCCGAGCATCCCCCGCAGCGCAAATGCCGGCATGCATCCTCAGACAGCGTTAACTCAGAACTGGACGTGTAGATGAGTTCACAGGCAGAGAGACACATGCATCGACCACGGCCAAAAACGCGCACCATGCGCCATCTGCACGCTGCGGTCGCACTGACCGTCATCCACCCACCCAAGCAGCCGCTCAGCTGAGCCCTCACGCCCGCCCGGGTCGTACACACGCCCGTTTAGCTGCGCATGTGTGCCGATTGGCAAAGGCAGGCAGGCAGGCTGGCAGGCAGGCAGCCAACCAAAAAAAAGGAAAGATATCACTTCTTTCTCGTCGTCTGTGTCGTGCCACTGAGTCCCTTGCCATGCGCAACTCCACGATGAATGGACCGCGCCGAACGGCTTTGTCGCACACGGCCATGAGGCTCACTGGCGTGAGAGACAGACAGACAGACAGAATCGGACCCCAAAGCATCATATCATCGCAACCAACGACACGACAGGAAGCTCTCAGCAGTACGACTGACTAAATGAGCACATCCTCAGCACTGCACACACACGCACACACACTGTCAGCCAGCCTTGCTACACAGACAGCCGTCCGCCTGTCGACCCAGCCCCCCTCGACCGCGGTCGCGACGCCGGCGTGCTCGCCACCCCACTGGCCGCCCGAGCCCGCCCCACCCCCTCGCCCCCCTGCTGCAGCGACATCGCCTGGAATGGCCCCTGCAGGTCTCTCATTCTGCCGTTGTTGGTGTTATTGGTGATGTTGGCGTGTGGGTGCGGCACCATGGAAGAAGGCAGCAGGGCGGCCCGCAGCTCGTCCGCCGAGGAGTGCATCGGCTGCACTGGGACTCTGGGGGGAGCCACGAAGGGCACATAGGGGTTGACATACGACACCCCCGACTTCTGGCGGATTGGTGGCGGGGAGGCAACAGGGGGTGAGGCGCGTGGCTTGTCGCTGCTGGCAGAGTCGCCACGGATGAGGGCGTTGGACGTCGGAGGGGGCCGCGCGCCTGAGCGACGGAGTTGCTTCTCGTAGTTGCGGAGCTGCTTCATGAAGCCCTGGTTGGGGAGGGCCATGGGGCGGGTCTGACGGACTTGAGCCAAAGCCTTCACAGAAACATGGACACGAAGCGAGAATGTGTCGACTGTGCGCTGCGCTGATTGTGAGTGTTCTGGAGCTTGCCTGGTCGACGTCCAGCCCTGCAGTGCCGACCAAGTACCCAATAATGATCGACACGGAACGAGAACGGCCTGCAAAACTGATATGCAATGAACGAACACCGACACACACGCACAGAAGTCAACGTGGCGCAAGCAGTCACCTCCATTTTCTCCCCTCCCTCCCTCCCTCCCTCACTCACTCACCAGTGCACGAGCACCCTATGTGCGGGATGCCTCAGCGCCCTATCAATGAAGCGGACCGCGTCGGGCAGAACCGCCATCAAATCAGCTGCATCGGTGTCAAGCAGCTCCACAGAGTGGTACACGAAGTCGCCAGGGAACGCCACGGGCACCGACGGCGTCGCAGACACGATGTGCGTGATGCCCGCCGCGTGAAGTCGGTCCTTCGACAATGCGGCACCAATGGAACCGACGAACAAACGATCAGCAACCTGAGAACAGGACACGGAACAGTGAGAAATGGGGCTGGTGGTCCTGCCCGGCTCATCGTGCTGCCCACCTGATGGACTGCGTTGTCATACTTCGTCTTGTTCACCACCTGCAGCCAGGGAAGAAGCACACACGCATTTGTGCAGTGTCCGTTCCTCTCACATTCTCACGGGCACGGTGGATGTGCACATGTCAACTTCCACTTAGCCCAGACCGTCCTCAGCTCGTGCACACTCACCAAGATTCCCTGGATTATCTGCTTGAGGCCCTCAGCTCTTCGCGCGTCGCCAGGAGAAGTGGTGGTGGCATCGTCACGCGACCGGATATTGACGAAGCTGTTGGAACGCATTCTTGACAGCACAAGCTATTGAGTTCAACAGGAGCGGTGCGGTCCAGGCCCTCCTCCCCCTCTTTTGACCCCCGAGTGGCGCGAGCTAAAAGCGCAAGGGTGCCCCCTTTCCCCTTTTTCTCGTTTCATCGGCATTCCCCAGGAATTCCTTCAGCCTATCAACATTGTCGGCGGCCCCAGCTGCTACCTGACCCTTCCTTCCCAGAGGCTTCTTTGTTGTGGCATCGAGGCATCGATGGCCCTCAACGTCCCCAGCCCAGCGCCCCAGAGGCGCTCACAGCTCCTGTTTAGTCCGGCGGGAGTCGTGTCTGGCGGCGGAGATGCCTTGAGGATCCGCACATCCATTCTGGGGCAAGCGGGCATGGGCGTCGTCGATGCCTCTGTAAGGCCGGAGGCAAGACATGTCACGGCCGCCCCTAGCGCCGCATCAGCTGCTGCCGCTGGTGCAGTAGCAGCAGGGGATAGGAGGGAGAACAAGCACGTGACGGCAGCGCCGGGGATCCAGCTGCCTCTCCTGGCGGGCGGGAGGAGGGCGTCCATGGCGCGCGGCTCGATTGTGGGGGGATTGCTGCCGGGAGGGGTGATGCCAGCGCCTGACGATCAGACAAAGCCCAAGGACAAGCTGGAGGAGCTGAGGGACGGGTACGTTTCTCAGAAACCGGAGATCAGTGTGGTGAGTACGGCTGCGGAAGACAAGAAGCCCGACGTGGGCGGCACCGTGCAGCCAGGGGTGGCCCCGACGGCGAGGGTCGACAGTCTTGACGACCTGGAAAAGGTGACATGACACACACGAGGGAGGGCCACACGGGACGACCCAGTGGAAGACGAGCAACCAACTCTTTTTCCCCTTTTCTTGGTGTCTCCTTCCTGGTCGTTTCTTCCCCTTCATCTGTGTGCAGTTGGAAGCAGACAAGACCAACATCCAGAAAACCAGGCCAAAGGTCATGCAAATCGATCCATCTGACTTGACTAACTCGCAGGTTTATTCCCTCATGTGTCTCCTTTCTGCTCGTATGTGTCTCGTCGCTGCAGGTGATGACCGTCGAGCAGTTGCAGCAGATGGTCAACAGCTGCGCGGGGGGCAAGGCCAAGCAGCGGAAATGGATCGGCACGGGCGGCACGATGAAGCAGGGCAGCAAGGGCAGCCTCAACCCACCGATCGGGGCCACCATGGGCACCATGGGCACGATGGGATCGACCATGATGTCTCGCCAGTCCTCCCAGAACCTTGGCGGCTCTGCGTCGCCACAAAAGATGTCGCTACAGAAGCAGGGGAGCGGTGTGGGCTCGGCAGCGAGAAGCTCCTCGCCGCCACCACGGTGACCAACAAAAGAAAGGCTCTCTCCTTTCCCCAATATGTACGCGGCCAATTTCGCTTCTCGTGTCTCTCCATGTCAGTGCGCCATCGCCGCCCCCCCGGGCGCCATCGAATCTTCCCCGGAGCTCCTCCCCAGAGCGCAAGCCGCCCCCCAGCCCACAGAAGTCGTCGATAGCGTCCAAGGCGCCCCAGGCACAGGCACACGCGTCACGGTCGACGCTTGCCAAAGCTGGGGCTTCGCAGATGGCAAAGTGATATTGGTTGACGGGGGGAGAGGGACGGTCGCACATTGGAGGGGCTGCGGCGTGGTATGGGCAGGCAGGACGAAAACGAGTTCTGTCCCTCTGAGACGATGCATGCACGTGTTCATGTGTGTGTATGTGAAATGAAGGCTGTGAGTGAGGCTGTCTTTTTGACTCTCCCCTTGGTCGCTCCGTCTCATGTGCGTGCACGCTGTGTTGCCAGCTGGTGAGACATCGAATGAGCCATTCATCTGCTGTGCGTGGCTTAATGGGTACAATTGAATGCATTTGTCATGAGCTGACGGCCATCCATTCGATCATCCACGAGAGTCGACAACAATGCAATGCAAGCCACTTGCGTCTTCCTGACTGACTGACTGACCATCCGTCACACACACAAACACGTGGCCACACCGTCCACCCACCCACCCACTCACCCACCCGATACCCTCATGCGGGCAAATCATCGTCCTCCTCATCCCTCACCACAGGGATCGTCCTCTCACTCATCCGCCGAGTGGTCATCGTCTGTGCGGGAGACGGGAACCCACCACCAGTCCCACTGGTGGGCTGCCAATGTGTGTGGGGGTGGCTGGTGGAGGCGTCGAGCATCACGGACGCGTCGATGCGCCTCGCCAGGCCGTCGCAGAGCTTCTCCACCGGCTTGAGGCCGTTCTCGTCTTCCTCTGACGCATCGGCACCGTAATCGATCAGGATCTGCACACCAAGAGAGAGGGGGAGTCACAATTGACGGCAGGGACACATTCGTTTTGGTTTCACCTGCGCCACTCGCCCGTGGCCCAATGCACATGCGACATGAAGGGGCCGGCTTGACTTCGGGTGGATGAACTCACAACGGGGATTGGCCAGTCGCTACAGGCAGGCAGACAGACAGACAGACAGGACGGGTGGTGCGTACGCATTTTCTGCGTCCGTGCAAGTGTGTGGCCACCTGCTCGAGAATGAACTTGGCAACCTCATATTTGTTCAGCCTGCCAGATGCACATGCAGCAGAGACGCACACACGTCGATCACCAGCTGGCGTCTGTCTCCTCTCCCTCTGCTTGGATGGGTGTGCTGACTTTGCCGCGACAACGAGGGCCCCGTGGGTGGCCCGGATGAGCCCTGTGTCCAGCCTCAGCTCCATACACGCATCGGCCGACTCAGCTATGATCTGACGAGACGTCTGTATATGGCCCGGCCGCCAACACACACACACACACACACAAACACACACAAACACACACACGCGCGTGTATGCATAAGTGCGGGGTGTGTGGGTATGTGTGTACTCACATCGTCGCCCATGTCTCCAAGCCGGGAGAAGAGAGGCGGGATGACATCGCCCCTCTCCGGCAAACAACGACCTGCGCGTGTGCAGAAACAAGGCAATTGGAAGCACGCGTCACCACCCGTCACCCACCTGTCGTGAGCAGGAACCTGACCACTTCACGACGGTTGTTCTGTGGCTGACGGGGAAATCTGCACACACAAAAACAACGAGAGACGTCCTTGTCTCTGCCAGCCACCCAACCATGCCAACCACGCATCCAATCATTGACATACATTCTCACGAAGCTCAGCCCATCCCGTGCGTTAGTCGGATCAACAGCAGCAAGACACAGCGCGAGAGTCAGCGGCGTCCATCCCTCGTGTGTCTCAAAGAAATAGGGGTCCCCCTTCCGCCCCGGCCACGGCACCCTGCTGCTGATGGGCCCCCAATCGTCTGCCGTGCCGAGATCCGTGGGCAGTGCCGCCTGTGTCGCGGGGCCAGACCCCAAGGTGACCCTCGGCCGCGCCATGCCTGCGATTGAGCCCGGGTCGATCCCGCGCTCCTCCAGACGGCGGATGCGGGTCCGCTCAAAGGCCTCAGACTTGGTGATGCCCTTAGTGACGGCCTCGACAATGGGGACATCCCCCTGATGGATGGATGGAGGCATCAGAGGATGCCCATCCTAATGTTGTGGCCAGGGGTTCCGTTCATTGAATGACCCACCCGTGCGATAGCGATGTGCAGGGGAGTGATGCGGGAGTCCTCACTCGACCAACGGTCTGCAGGGGACGGAAGCAACTCTACACAGGTATACAGACAGGAGCCACCAACAGAGTCCTGTCTCTTTCCCACGTTGTATGCTGTGCGTGGGAGCTGTCCTGTCACCCACCTACCTTTGCCCGGGAAGTCCATCATCCGCACCCCACGAACAGGGTCTGCTCCATATGTCAGCAAGATCTGAACCACCTCCACATTCTACAAACAGACAGCCAGGCTCGTATTTGTTGACGTGTCTCTCCCTCCCTCCGCTCCGCCCCCCTTTCCCCCCGCACCGCACCCCTCTGGCAGCAGCGAGTGTGAGCGGCGTGTTTTGGTAGTCCGGCCGCCGGTCCACTGCGTTGACGACCTGTCTGCCCCCCAGTCGGCATATCTCCTGCACCAGCCGGGGGCTGCCGCTCCACACGGCGAAGTGCAGGGGCGTCCATGCGTGCCGGCTCGTCCGTATCGTCGGGCTGATGCCCGCCCTCAGAAACAACACCGCCAGACGCACATGGCCCCTGGTGGACACACAACACAGGTGGTTGATGGGTCTTATACGTATTGCCTTGTCAGCCATGTTTGTCGCCCACCCCATGCAAGCGAGGTGGATTGGCGAGAGGCCGGTGTCCCAGTAGACGGCCTCTGTGCCCTCGCTGGCCACAATATCACCGTCGAGGTGAAGAGGCACCACCCCGCCCTTGGCCGCCTCATTCAGACGCCGAGACTGCACAAACACGTCACCTGCACGGCCATGCATTGGGAGCGACAGCAATCGACGTGTATGGCTGTGGTGAGGTGTTTATGCATGACCACCTGTGACAGCAAGCATGTCTGCCCCCGCCTTGATGAGCATGCCGGCGGTCTTCATCTTGCCACGAAGGGCACACACATGCTAAAAAAACAAAAGACAGAGAGAAAAGGCGACAGTGTGTCGACGCAAAGGCCCATGGCCATGCCAGTCAACGCACCCACCAGGCAGGTCCAGTCATGGAAGCCGGTCCTCCTGCTTTTCGCGTTGAGGTTTGTGTTGGCATATTTCATGAGGAACTCAATGAATTTCCGCCCGCCCTCGGCACAGACGGGGGAGATGACTTCACACCCAACATGCAGCAGAGGGAAGCCGTCCAGCGAGTTGATGACGTCCTGCCCGTCGACCACCAGCTGACGCAATATCAGCTCCTCTCCGCGCAGAGACGCGCTCTGACAGGACAAACAGACAAGATTCAATGTGTAGATGCAGGAAGAAAGGCTGCGTCCGTCTGCATTTGCTCACGTGCAGGGCTGTCCACTGATCCTGGGGGTAGTGCGCAAAGACCAACGCACCGGCGCCGAGCAGACATGTCACGCAATCCGCCTGGCCCAGAGCGCATGCCAACCTACACGCCAGACAAAAAGACAGACACGCGGACAGACAGACAGACAGACAGACAGACAGAGAGACAGACAGACATCGAGCAGAGACAATCCTTATCATTGTCTGTCGTCATGGGCCTCCCTCCATCCCTCCGTGCTGACCTCAGCGGTGTCCTTCTCGGCACCAGCTCATCAACACTATACACATTGACGTTGGCCCCTGCCTGGATGGCACCGTTGATAGCCGCGATGTCGCCCTGCTGGATGGCCACGAACAGTCGCGACGAGGCGTCCAGACTGAGTGGATCTTCGTCCAGGCGGATGGAATGGGCCGCCAGACTCATCTGAGCGATAGGCAGAGATCTCCACACACATGAGGAGGGGAGACGGGATGACACTGAGGCGTCTAAGGCGCTTACCTGACACGACGCTTTTCGAGGTCCTCTCGGTGCAATAAGGGCAGGGTAGAGAGGCTCCTGCCCGGCTCCTTATCGCAGCCGGCGAGCTTGTGCATGCAGAGCCCCCCGTCTCAACAAGACCCCCTCAGTAACGTAAGAGTAGCTTCTTATATGGATGTCGAGCCGTACGATTCGGTATGTGCCCACGACCTCTGCTCCCGCCCAGCCTCGACCGCCTCGCACCGCTCCCGCACTGCCTCTGCGGGCGCAGCACTTCCTCGCCGAGCTGAGGTAACGATCAAAAGAACGAGATGGCATGCATGGCCTATAGATCCCCCCTCTGGGCGTCTGTGTGTGTATGTGTGTGTGCCTGTGCAGCGGTGAGGCGCAGATATGGATTGAGGGCGACCGGGCGTCGAACAGGATGGCTCCGAAAAGACAGCAGCAGCCGGGCACGGTGCGGAAGGATGAGCGGCCGAGCAGCGCCAGGCTCACTGGAAGGCCGCAGGAAACGCTCAAGGGTCCGAGGGTGGGAGGAGGGAATGGTGATACTGCCAAGGGTACTGTTGGCGACCGGCTGGTGCAGCACGTGCGCCGGGATTTCGAGGCATCGACTGACAGGCAAAGGGAGCTGGAGGCCAAGGTGAGTGAGGGAGGGAGGGAGTGGCCGGATGGGTATGCTGCATTGCGTGCGTGGGCATCAGCATCAGTTGCGTGTGTTGATTTCTTTCACCCAGGTCGCGTATCTGCGTAATGAGATGACGCAGATGCAGCAAAAGCTGCTGGACGAGAAAAAGGAGAACGACAGGCTAGACTGGGACAGAAGGTCAAGCGACCCACAGCATCAACAAACAGGAGACCCCCTTTATTTTATATACGTTTCTCGTGTGACATTCCTGGTATGTGTGATGACTGCAGGAGTGAACGGCAGCGCGCCAGTGAGATCGAAGGCCGCATGCGGTCGCTCGTGGAAGAGTAGGGGGAAGGACATGCAGCGATCCCAAATGGATGCGCCCATTGGATGTCTTGCACAGGCGCGATGTGGCCTCTCGCGAGCGTCGGCGGCTGCAGGAGGAGCTCGATAAGAAGGACCAAGACCTGAGAAAGATGCAGCAGGTCAGCAGGACTGTCCATCATGCCCCATCAGCTGCCGGTCTGATCTTGCCTCTCAGGCCCTGGAGGCCTCGAAAGAGGCTGACAGCATCGCAGCGGAGCAGCAGCAGCAGGCCGTCATAGACCTTCACGTGCGTGAGAAGGAAGAAAAAACTTGACGACCGTCCATGGTTCATTCATTTGTGTGTCCATTGGCATTGGTCAGAAGAGCCAGGAGTCCCTCCGCAGCTCTCAGGCGCAGGTGGTGCGGCTGGAGGAGGCGCTGGCCAGCGAAGAGCGGCTCAAACAAAAGGCTATCGAGGAGCTATCACGGACTAAAGAGGAGCTCAGGAACGCACTCAAAAAGTACAAAACGACACAATGACGTGCAGCGCACTGACCGATTATCGGTTTCCTTCGTGTGACACGTGTATGTGGGTGAACAGGGTCACCAGTCTGACTGGTCAGCTGGTGGACGCGGAGCGGAGCATCCGGAAATACGACGAGGAGCTCAAGTCCAAGAACGCCAGACTGGGTAGGAGAAGGGGTATGCGCCACACCACACCAGACCACACACACACGACCATAGCAAACAACACGCCAGCCCGCACGAGGCTCACGTTGTTCACCTCCCTCCCTCCCTGACAGATGCGTTGCGTTCTGCGACGGCCAAGAAGCAGCGAGAGGAGGAGGTGCTCCAGACCAAGAAAGGAGAAATCATGCAGGTAAGTGCGCCATACTCTCTGGTGGACGGCGTCACATCGGTCGGTGACATGACATGAATGATGTCTGTGTGGTGCTGTCTGTGTTGGCCTCCCTCCCTCCCTCCCTCCCCCCCAAGCAGCTTGAGCGTGCACTCACTGCTGCTGAGGTGGAGCTGCGCCGCCAGAACGATATGTACGTGACCGAGAACAGGGAGAAGCTGCAGGCAAGCGCAGACACACACGCACACACACACACAGAGAGAGAGAGAGAGAGGAACGTTCTGTCGGTCAGGCCCGTGAGGAGCTCTCCACGACCAAAGCGGCGCTCGAACACATGCAGTGCGTGAGAAACGCCCACACACATACGGCCGCACATCAGCACGCACACCATCTGAAGTGCAATGCACCGTCCTCCTGTTCGTTCAGAGCTCAGCTGGATGCCGCACACGCCGAAATACACCAGCTGAAAGAGGTGAAGAGCCCCACGCCCCATCCCCAGCCAGCCGACACGCACACCGCTCTGCTGTTGCTGCATCGGTCGGTCAGAGCCGTGACCTCCTTCGCCGTGAGGTGGATGCGTACGCGTCACGACCGGCGCTCCGCCACCGCTCCCCCAACCTGTCGCCCACACGAGGAGACGACGCCGGCGTGGCTGGCGCTGGTGGTGGTGTGGATGGTGAGATGCTGGAGAGCCTCAAGAAGGAGAACGCTGAGCTGCAGAGGAAATATCAGGTGCGGCAGAAGCTGGTGTCCCACCTTGTGGCTTCGATGATTGATGTTTTCCGTGTGTGTGCGTGTGTGTGTGTTGCAGGAGCTCCTGACGACCAAGACCAATGTGGATCGCAAGGCGTCGACCAACAGCCGGGCCCTCATGACGCTCAAGGCCACCAACCAACAGCTGCAGAAAGAGCTCGATGAAGCCCAAAAGAAGTGAGTGAGGGGACGATGCCCACACACATGCGTCAACTGGCTGATGCACCGACATGTATGTTTCAGAGCACTGGATGAGAAGAGGCTGCGCGAGCGGTGCCACTCGCAGACCATCGCCACACTCGAGAAGAATCGCCTTCTGCGCGCCAAGACGGAGAATCTCCAGCAGCAGCTCCAGGACAACGAGAGGCAAATCCGCAAAAGCCAGACGCAAGACTTCTACCGACACGTGTCGCGGCCCCTCTTCTCTTCCACGCGCAAGCCCCTGTCTCAGTCTGCGAGGCCTCCCTTGCCCCCAGCACGACAGAAAACATCAGCAGCGGGCAGCCCCGCCTTCTCTTCCCTGTCGGCATATCGCTTCCAGCTGGCCGGCGATGGCGTCACATCCCTCACCCCTTCACACGAGAGGGACCGCACCCCTGCAAGCCACCCGGCACTTGCAGCTGGTGAAGACGGCCCCCTGCCTCCCCCATTGAGACGACACACATATGACGAGGCGCATCACGTCAGCAGAGACGATGAGCACGTGTGGGTAGATGACACTGAGCCGGTGGCGCGGCCACCGCCAGTGCCAGTGCCAGTGCCGGAGAGCCAGACGCTGCTGGAGGCGGCGTCCAACTCGCCCTCGTCTATGCGGTCGCCTGTGTATCCCCCGCTCGATGGCAAGAGGCCCTTCTCCACTGGAGATGAAGATGGTGCAAAGGGCGAGAGAGCTGACAAGGACGGTGGGACGATCGGTGGTGTTGGTGTGCCGGGTCAGAGCCTAGCATTCTTGCGAGACTATGTGGAGAGGGAGGAGAAGAAAAAGGACCACATACGCGTCGCCAGGTACTTAGGGAGGCTCCACAACCAAACAAGCACGATTGATCCCCCTCCCTCCCAATCATTCATTCACTGAATGCGTGTATGTTTCCTTCAGGGCGCCGGACCTTCCACCGTCCGCTAGCCGCCCCACGGACTCCCAGTCCCCTACCATCGTGGCCCAGAAGCACCACCGGCTCACCCCTCCCCCGTCCCCACACCTGGACCCTATCAGCGGCGACCTCTCTGAGCGGAGACCGCCCCTGCGCATCGGCATCGACCTCCCGCCACCGCCGCCAGAAATGGACAGCAAGGCGGCGGAGAGGTCAAGGCCGGTGCGTGCCGTTTCTGCTGCTGCTGCCGGTGCGTATGGGTGGGAGGGGGAGTCGGATCAGCTGCAGCAGCTGCTCAACTCGGAGCCTGCAAAGCTGAGAATCTGATGGGTGGCAACAGATCGATGGGATGGGTGGTGGACCAGGTGGAGCGGTGAATCGCTTTCTTGTGTGCTGTTTGTGGTGCATAGCTCTGCGGACCGTGCATGCACCTCTGCTGGCTTGACTTTCGATGTTCGGAAATCGACCAAAGCTCGCAGCTGCGATTGCGAAAAGAAACCATCGCGAGGCAGAACCGAAGCCTCCGGACAGATCAGCGGTGCAGCAACAAGCCCAAGGTCTGATCTCATCAACTCTCGCCATCATGCTGTTGCTCCTGCTTTCCTGGCAGAGCCTGCTGTCCACTGGTGGAGCGCTCGTCAGACATGTCCAGAGTGGCTTCGTCCCCCTACAGCCGCCTCGGCGTCGTTTGCGTCCATCCCGACTCATCCCAGCTGCCGAGAAGGGACAGGGCGGTGCGTCTGTGTCGACGACAGTGAGCCGCGAGAGGGCCGCCAGAGTGGTCGACGCCGCCCTTTGCTACCTCAAGCTGCATGAAACACCCAAAAGCTTCGTTTCGGGGTTGAGCGACCTCGTTCCATCCCTCATTTCTCGCGGCAATACCACCACTCAATGGTCTGTTCAGCCGGACTTTCAGCTGTCGGGAGCGCCATTCTCGCCACCCGACCTTCAAGCCGTCTATGAGATGCACGCCAGCCAGTCCCCCTTTGGCCTGAAAGACCAGACAATTGTCGATCCAGATGTGCGCAACAGCCGGGAATTGTCAGCCGACCAAGTGCGCCTGAGCAGTCGGGACGGCCGGTGGGAGAATGTGATTGAGGGAATCTGCCGTACGGTGGAGGAGGAGATGACGCCGGGCTATCGAGTGACAGCGGATTTCTACAAAACCCTTATCTATGCGGAGGGCGACCACTTCCGCGTCCACAAGGACACGCAGCGCACCGCAGAGATGTTTGGCTCACTGTTGCTCTTCCTCCCATCTGACTACAAAGGCGGAGACTTCCTGCTCTACGATGGGGACCAATTCCATGGCGAACGCTTCAACAACGAGACGCGAGCAGCTCTCGAGAGCGGGCAGTGTCGGTGGCTGGCCTTCTTGGCTGACATCCCTCATCGCGTGATGCCCGTTGAGTCGGGCCATCGACTCGTGCTGGCTTACAACCTGCGGCGGGAGAAATTGGCAGAGCCCCAGAGAGGAAGGCCTGCCCCGCTGGCCGCACCGCTGCAAGATCTGGTCGATATGCTCACCGACTACTTCACGTCGACCGGCGAGGAGACACAAGGGGACAGAGAGGTAAGCGGCCATGCAGTGAGTGCACATGAGAAGAGCATGTGAGTGATGGCTGCTGTCCCTCTGTGCTTTGGGCCGTGTTGTGTTTGCAGAAGGAGAGTGCCAGGCGGTTCGTCTTTTTGCTCGATCACGACTACACGCCTTCGTCAATCGGGCCTGACTACCTCAAAGGTGCCGACAGCGCCTTGTATCAGGTGCTGGCACAGCACTTCAACGTCAGCTTTGAGATGCTCAATGAGTTCGTCTCATTCGACGACCCCGCTCAATACTCGCTGATCGACAATGAGACTGACGCGGCGGTTCTGCGGGCAGGCACGGCCAACATCACAGACGAAGAGAAGGCCCAGGTATTTGGACCTTACTGGGAGACCGAGTTCTTCGATGAAAATGAGTTCTGCGAGTTCTTCGATCACTTGACATGGTACGAATACCGGGACAGTCCAGAGTCGAAGCACTGTGATTATGAATACTTGAAAGACGAGTATTTGAAAATGTCCGAAGAAGAGAAGCAAAAATGGAGACAAAGGGCCATCGCCAGACGGAAGGAAAAGGCCATCGCCGATTGGCGTTCTTCTCTCGCTGACGGGCAAGCGTCTCGGGTAGGTGTGCTCACTCACGCACTCTCACGTCACTACAACCTGTTGTCTCTCTGTTGTGTGTGTCAGTGGGGCGACGATGATTGGGTCAACCTGATGGACCGCATTCGAGAGAAGGCATCGAGCAACGACGTCGACTTTGTCTTCCCGGTGCGGAAGCCCGGACAGTCCGCCTTCGCGAAGAAGCCACATGTCATGTGGGGAGGAAACCAGGAAGCCAACTGGGAGTATCAGTACATTTCCGTGTGTCTCCTTGTGAGCGGGCTGAGAGAGTGAAGTGAGGGGCCTTCCTGGGCGTTTCAACAAGCCAGCTGTTGCCTTTATGGCGTTTCGTATAGGCTATCTGCCATGTTGCACAGCAGAGAGAAGCGGACATCAGCCGCTGGAGAGTCAGTGGTTTGACCGTTTATGTGTGACGTTTCATGTGATGTGACACACGTGCACAAGTGTGCCCGATACCATCAGTTCGTGACACTTGACCAAACCAGTGTTCTCACGTCCGTCCGTCGCTTACATACATAGCCACATGTGATTCCTCCCAGGTCGGTGTACCGTCCCGTGCTCCCGCCGGCAGATATGGTATAGTCTGTCGTCTATTCACCAACCGATACATACACTGGATGGTGCATACGTGCGTCGCTGTCTGTGCCCAGCCAGCCCCACACACATCGATCATACACACCCAGCTAGTGCAGTCATTCAGCCGTGTCCCTCGCCCTACTCGCTCACTCACTCGCTCACCCATTCCATCCATCCATCCACCCCAGCCCCCCCACACGACGATCAATCAACGAATTAAGCAAGTGCTTATGTATGTATGCTTTGCAATCGACACACTTACGTACACACCACACCACTAGCACTCAAAACCGACGTGGCACGGAAAAAGAGGAGGAAAAAGAGGTAGGTAGGGGGGGAGGGAGGGAGGGAGGGACCATGCTGCGCTGCGCCGTGCTGTGCTGTGCTGTGCCCGGTTTGCTATCTATCTGACTAAGCTCACACTAGCAGCTCAGCCCCAGGAGATCTTGGTGATGATGCGGTCGCTATCCACGTGCACGTTCAGCCTGCAGGAAGGAACAACCAACGACCAACAAGCAGATTCTCACACTCAGCCGCCCAGCTCATTTACCCACCCTCCCACCTGTCGGGTCGGTAGTCCATGGTCACGGCGCACGGCTCCGGGCCCAGCACACGGTTGGGCGTCGGCAGCTCGTTGTCATAGACTACGTTGCTCTCGGTGTTGTCCATGGGACGCTCACCAGACTGAGGACATAGACAACACACACACGTGCCCTGGCTGCCTGTCCTTCGCGTGTGCGTGCCGTTGTGCTGCCCACCTTGAGCATCTTGCCAATGAGCTGCTGCTCGAGCTTCTCGTCGTGCATGTGCATCGTGCCGACGTCGATAGCTATCTATCTGTCTTATCTTCCGACCGGCAGCGCAGCCAAATACAAAGGGCTCTTGTACCTTGTCTTGTACTAACACTCGACGAACGCCAAAGCAGTACTGCTTTCCCGAAGATGGATGTTGTGGTGGAAGCTCGTCAGAGGAGTAGAAGCATCAACTTCCACATCCACTTCTCACTCCAGCCCGCGGCCCATCTACCTGTAGCTCGCACTTGATGGAGAGTATTGGAGTGTTGTATTGAGGGGTACTGATGGCGTGTGGCCATCCCCCTGTTACCGTTGTTCCTCATTTGAGCCTCGGCTGACTTCGGACGAGCGTCTCTGGGCCATCCAGCGCTGAGAGAGGGCCGGAGAACAGCTGAGAGGACACTCGTACCTGCTGGGGCATCTGGGCCTTCCTCTCTGCCACCCCTCTACGATTGCTTTGGTCTGCCTGAGTGAGGCTGGTTGCCGTTCTGCACCATCCATCCGCCATCCATTCCATCGACGACGGCGTGCACGCAGATGAGTCATGAACTTCCTGAAGCCCATATTCCAGATCTTCCAAGAGTATGCGGAGCTGCCGCCCCTGCTCGACAATGAGATTCAGTTTGTGGTCAAGAAGTGGCGGGACACACGGCCGTGCCAGCCGCTGAGGGGCCCCTCCAAGCGGATCAAGTCCTTCTTTAACTGCAGGCTACTCGTCTTCCCGCAAGGTACGTAGATGAGAGAGAGAAGGAGGCAGGCCAGCCAGGCGCTGAACGGCTTTGGGATCATCTGCTGCCTTCGTGTGTTATATGTCATATGTGTGTGGATTGATGGTTTCGTTGGTTGCAGGGAGTCAGTCGTCGATTGACAACGTTGGTGTGTTCCTCGAGGTGGTGCCTGAGAACTATCCCCAGCACTGGTGCTTCCCATCCGTCAAATGCGAAATCACGGTCGGTCCCTCAGGCACAAACAGCAGCTGTCCGGCCTAGTGTCGCTCACTTTTCTGTCTTTGCTGTATTGTATGTTTGCCCTCTCTGCAGGTAGTGAACTTTCACCAGTACGAGGAGTCCCTCCGCAAGTCTGCCACCCTGTCGTTCAGCTCCCAAGTCCTCACCGCCGGTATGCACACGCATACACGCCAACACACATACATCTCCCCCCCCCGATGGAGGACCACCTCCCATCCTGTCTGTCTGTCTGTCTGTCTGTCTGTTTGTTCAGGCAGCAGCACGTTCATCCCGATATCGACCGTCAAGGACCCCGAGCGCGGCTTCCTCAGCCACGACGGTGCGCTGGTGGTGCGTGCGTCGGTGGAGCTGCCGGCGGTCGACCTGCACCTGGTGGACTTCGGCTCCCGGCAGGGGCAGGGCGCCAGCGCCCTCTACCATGAGCTGGGGCACGTCTGGGACAGCGAGATACGGATGGTCATCAAGAAGTGGCACTCACTCTCGCCGCAGGTACGTCAGACAGACAGAAAAGTCGTTTGCGTGTGCGCCTTCTGATCATCCATTCATTGTGTTGGGTGTGTGTGTCCAATCCACTGCATACAGGTTCCGCTGGCGACCCCCTGCAAGAAGATGCGTCAGTGCACGTTCCGACTGCTGGTGTACCCCAAGGGCACCGAGCGATTCCCATCGCACGTGGGGGCGTTCCTGGAGATCATCCCCACGTCGGACCTGCAGCCCTCCTGGTGCTTCAACCTCAAGTACGCCATCACCATCGAGAACTTCCTCCTCGGCCCCAATGGCAACCTCTCCAAGAACGACACGTACGCCTTCTGCGAGACGGCCACCGACAGGGGCTGGGCCGACCTCATCCACTTCGAGGTCCTCACCACCGAAACCGGATTCCTCTCGTCGGATGGGTCGCTCTCCGTCAAGCTGACCATCCTCGAGCAGCCCAAGATGTCCCGGCTGCGGGGGCCGCCGGGTGCCACTGCGCCAGGTGCGCCATTGGCCCAGCAGCAGGCGGCGCAGGAAGCTTTGCGTCTCGAGGAGCAGCGGCAGCAGCAGGAGCAGAGGGAGAGGGAGCGGCAGATGGCGCTCGAGAATGCGGCCACGTCGGGCATGTCGACGGGCCGGTCGGCTGCCACGCCGCTGGGGCAGTGCCGGGCTGACGAGTGCCGTAACCTGCAGGGGCCGTCGGTGTGGCTGACCGACGAGCGGGTCGTGTGCGAGTAAGCACACACACACTTACACACACACAGAGGAGGAAGGGGGCAACGGGGGGCTGTGGTCATTTATCCTCATTTATCCGTGGGGTGCCATATGTATGTGTCTGTGCAGGTGCAGCGAGCACTGCAAGATCTACTACCACGCTTCCTGTTTCAAGAAGCTGGCCAAGGCCATCGCATCCGACCTCGAGGACCACATTTGCCTCACCCCAGACTGCGACGGCACCCTCTTCCGCGTCAACCTCATCGACAGCGACGGCCGGCTCGTCCGCAAGTACATCGACGACGAGGCCATCCTGCAGGAGATCAGGCGCAAGAAGCAGCAGCAGGCCGACCAGCGGTCGAACCCTGAGACCCCACCCGCCGTCGACATCCCCGAGCACTCCCGAGGCCGCAACACCCACGCCCACGCCCACGCCCACACGCGCAAGGGCAGGAACTCAGAACCAGAGAGGGGCGGAGACAAGGATGCCAACACCAAGGCCGACGAGCGAGCAAGACGCGCCAACAGCTCACAGTCGTCCCACCCTGCCCCTGCCCCTGCCCCAGCAGCGGCAGTAGCTGCAGCTGCAGCTGCAGCAGCCGACCCCTACCCCGCGCCCACCGAGCCCACCACAAGAGGTGCCCGAGCGCCCAGGCACTCTGACGAGCAGCCAGCCAGCTCGTCTGCTGCTGCGGCGGCGGCTGCCGGCCCATCGGTGGCGAGCAAGAGAAGTGACGATGCCGATGGACCGTCACGGCCGGCATGGCAGGGGCAGCGGCGAGGCATCCTGGACCTCTCGAGGAGCCGTGAGGGTCTGTCGATGATTGAGGCGCTGCAGCAGTCCTCATCGGGTCACACGAGCGGTGACGAGCGGGACAAGCGCGGGGAAGAGGGCGAGGAAGATGAGGATAATGACGGTGACGATGAGGAGGACAACGTGACGTCGGATCGATACCGGTCGAGAGGCAGCGACTCGCCCTCTGCGTCGGCACAGACGCCTCGGTCGACCTCTGTGGGGTCGGAGCAGATGTGGGGACTGATTGAGGGGGAGCATGGCGACAGGGATGGGGAGGCTATGTCATCGCTGGCTGGGGGCATCTTCCTTCGCAAGTAAGTGGGAAGGTGCAGTCGAGATAAGCGACGGCAGACAAACGCACGGGTGCTTCCTTCCATGATGTGTGTGGATTTCAGGGACGCCGATCCTGACGGCATGCGCATTCGGGGTGAGCACGCCAACGCGTCAGCGGCCGAGCGACGGCGCAAGCCCCATGGCAAAGGCAAGCAGGGCAAGGTGACCCTCAGCCTCTCCGAGTTCCACCAGCAGGTGCAGAGCCACCCTGCGCCTCCGCCCCCACCGCCCCCGCCCCCAGACTACTCCAACATACTGCGGCAGACGTCCACCAACACCAGGAGAGGCCCGGGGCAGCTGACCGCACCGTCGGCTCTGCCGCCCCCACCCCCACCCGCCCCTCTGACCATTGCCAGGAGGCTGCCGGTGACGCCCACCGTCACAAGGGCTCCCATGAGAGGGCGGGGGATACACACGGGAGGGGGCCTGGTGCCTCTGGGAGGGCCGGCAGCTGCTGCAGCTGCTGCAGCTGCTGGTGTGCCCAATCCGGTCATCCCCCCGCAGCCCTTCTCGCACGAGTTCCCCAAGCTGGCTGGGCAGCCGGGCTCGCGTATTGGTAGTGGTCTTGGTCTCCCTCTCCCCTCGTCCATGTCAATGGCGGCATCGTCTGCTGCAGCCCCGCCACCCCCGGGCAGCTCCCCGTCGCTCGGGTTCATGGAGTGTCCCCCACCGCCTCCTGGCCCGCCCCCACAGGAGGCCTTGTCATCCATGTCCTCAATGCCCTCTCCCCCATCAGCGCGCCCGAGGCATGAGTTCCGCATCTTGACCAACACGAACCGGCGCGCCAATGCCACTTCGTCACCCAGCGCATCGCCACCCAGCGGCCCTGCACCCCCACCGCCAGCGGCGGCAGTTGCAGCTGCAGCCGTTGCTGCCGCAGCAGAGAGCATCCCGAGCTCGCCTCCCCCGCCCCCATCATCCTCTCAGTCGCTGGGCGAGGCGAGCGACGGGCCGCAAACGTATGATGAGGCGCCATTGTGCCCCGCTCCTTGTTCTCCAGCTCCTGCTGCTGCAGCTGCCGCCGCTGCCGCCGCTGCTGAGGTGCCGTTGTCGGTCATCGAGGAGAGGGAGAGGGCAATATCTTCCCCGCTCCCTCCACCAAGTGGTCCATCGGCACCATTGTCGGGTGGTACGTCAGAGTCGCCCGGCCTGGCGCGCTCTCTGACGGAGGACGAACGGGACGACGGCAGAGGCGGCGAGGCGGAGGAGCAGGAATCGGAGGAAGAGCTGGATCTGAGGGTGACGGAGGACCAGCTGGTGGAGACGAACGAGCTCTCCCTCGGTAGGGGGCCCACCCGCGGGCTGTCGGCGTTCGACCTCGTGTGCAGCATCTGTCAGTGCAATGTGGTCTACCGCCCTCGGGTGACCCGGTGCTACCATCTCTTCTGCGGCGAGTGCATCGCACAGTGGTTCGAGAAGCACAACCCCACGCAGTTCGAGGGTGGCGGGTTCAAGTCGTTCCTCCAGGCCGCCAAGAAGAGCACCCAGGACGCCTCGCTGCGGCGCACTGCCCCCTGCCCCATTTGCATGCGGCAGCTCGTCTACAACAAGGACCTTGTCTCCCTCTTTCCCACCAACAAGGCCGTCCTCCGGTCAGACAGCCAGCTGCGCCGCTTCGTGGAGCGCATCAACAACCTCCACATTCGGTGCAAGCACCACGAGCGAGGGTGCAGCTGGCAGGGGCGGCATGCCGACTACCCCGCCCATCTGGAGCAGTGCGTGACCAACCAGCGGGACATGAGGAGGCGCCGAGCCGGTGCTTCTCCCTCCCCTCCCCCACAACCACCCCGTGTGCCGTCTCCTGTCCCACCCCCCAGTTCCCCCGGCCCTCCAGAACCCCCCACGCCCCATGCTGCTGTCGCGGCTCCGTCGGCCACCGTGGCGGCCGGCAGGAGACGGAAGGACAAGCGGAAGGCCACAGAGGAGATCCGGATCGGCCCGTTGCCCCGCTGCCCAGCGCCCAGTCCACAGCAGATTGCCGCTCTGTACGGGCTGCCGCTGGGAAGATCGACGAGGGACAGTGGGATGGAGGCCTCCTTCACGGGCGGGGGCAGCGAGCGGCTTGGCCCGACTCTGTCGTTGTCGCTCGCCCCGTCTGTGGGGTCCACCTCTGCGTCGCCGGCGTTGTTTCCTGGTGGCGGCAATCGCACCACGCTCTCAGCCAGCTCCAAGGCCTTCCAGCCGTCGGGCTTCCTCTCCATGGACAACACGGAGGTGTCTGCGAGTGGCTGCCCCTCACCGGCACCCACACCCGTCCCCACCGCCATCAATGCCAAGAAGCCGGGAGGGCTCGTGCACATCAACGCGCCACGCAGATCACGCAGACCGGAGCCACGACCCAGCACTGCCCACCAGGGGCTGTCGGCAGGGCCACCCCCTCCTCCCCCTCCCTCGATTGGCACCCCGGCACTCTCGTCTGTGGGCCCGCCTGAACGCGACGACTTGCCCCCCGACAGCCTGTTGTCCAAGATCATCTTCACTCGGTCGCCATCGCCGTCGGTCGTGTCGCCGGGAGCCACTTCTGCGGCCATCTCCGACTCGGCGGTCGTGCCACCACCCCCTCCACCATCTGAAGACGGCTCTCGCGCGCACGGACCGCTGCTCATCTCTTCTCTGGTGCCTGCTCCTACATCGACGCCTGCACCAACGAGCTTCCCCGGCCAGCTCAATCCCATGGCGCCTGAGTTCATCCCGATGGGATTCAAGCCATCTGGGCAGGGCTTCAGGCAGGAGGGGCCGTCTGGTGGTGGGCGGGGCAAGGGGCACGATCCGGCCGATGGGGAGAGGGCGAAGAGCTCGGGTGACCTGAGGTCGACCCTTGACTGCGGCAGAGTCCGCAGCCCCTCACCACCCGCATCGCAGCCTGGCAGAACCCTGCGGCCATCGTCGCTCTCCCTGGCGGTGCATGACCCCCTTGACGACCCGCCGTCACATCGCGGGGCTGAGGGCGCCTCTGATGTCGGCTCGGCATCGGACGACGTGGGGGCGAAAGACCACCTCGTCCCTCGCGAGCTCATGAAGATGCTGGATGGGGAGCAGCCCTCGGGCTCCGCCACCTTCCCGTCCTCTTCGTCGGCCGCCCCTGACGTCCCATCGCAGGCTGCTGACCACCTGGCGTCTCTCCCCTTCCTCCCCGTCACACCCGACCGCACCCACAGCCGCTCAAGCAGCCCACAGGGCGGCACAGGCGACCTCTTCTCCACCAGCAGCCCGGCGGCTCCCCTCACTACTCCGGGGTTCTCGCAAGGCGGCGGTGCAGACGAGGCGGCCGGCTCTGCAGCGATGAAGGGGCCTGTGCCTTTTGCTGGCCTGACGGGCCTCTGTGTGGCGGCTGCAGCAGCGGCAGGGCAGAGCAGCATTCCGTCTGATGACGTCGAGTCGAATATGGATGCCCCCAGCGACCCGCAGATTGCCACGGACGAGGCGAGATCAGCGTCGCCCGAACCGGCTCCTGCGTCGCCGCCAGGGCCACCGCCGTTCGGGGAGGGAAGGGGTGACCATGAGTCGACCCCGCAGACGCCTGCAGTGGCGTCTGACAAGCCTCGTGGTCTGACTGCGGCAGAGATGGCGACAGTGCGGCGTCTGATTGATTTGATGGCGAGGAGCGAGGAGGACTGTGAAGGGCTGGAGGAGTCGATTCGGGCACTGGTGGACCAGCTGGGTGAGCAAGACGCGACACGCAAGACACGAATGCCGTTGTTTCCATTCACTGTGATCTGTCTGGCCATCCATCCCTTCATCCATCAGGTGAGGGCCGGCAGGAGCTGCGTCAGCACCGCCAGCGGCTCTGCCGCATCCGGGACGGCGAACAGCCCATGACGCAGGACAATCTCCCCTCGAACACGTCGGGCTCACTCTCATCGGCATCGCAGCCAAACCAGGCCGACATCCACGCGATCCCCTTCCCCTCACTCACCGCCCCCACACTCGCCAGTGCCCCGGCGCCATTATCGGGCGGTGAAGACGACCCCTCACGCCCACCTGAATGCACCGCTGCCCCTCTCCAGCAGCAGCAGGAAGGGCAGGAACTCGACAGAGGGGACAACGGCGACACTAATGACGGGAGGGAGAGGGACGCTAGTGGTGGGTCGGTGATGCCTGCCGTTGGGACCGTGCAGCGGCTTGAGTCGAACGCCTTGCAGCTGTCGGAGACACTGACGAGGCTTCGAGTGCTGCTGGATGGGCTGCCCAACAGCAGCGACGTTCTCAGTGGGTGCTTGGGAGGCGATGGCGATGGCGAGCAGAAGGCCGGGGACGATACGAAGGACCGGGACTGAGTGTGATGTGAGGGGGTGGCAGACAGCCACTGGCGTCTGCTTAGACACACGAGAATACACGACAAGGGAATGCAATGCATTGCAATGCACCAGCCAGGTCAGGTCAGGTCTTTGTATCAATGAGTATTTTTGTCGCCTCTGTGTGCCGTGTCGTGCCATACTGGGAAGGAAAGGTACATGGTTGTATGTGTGTGTGTTGTGTAATTGCCTAACAGCTCGGTCGGTCCTTGTAAGGTATTCTTGGGCCTTATGACTAACGAACTCCTCACTCACGGATTTTCGCCTTTGATTTTGCCGCACCTCTCTCTCTTTCTCTTTCTCCCTCCCCTCCCCTCCCCTCCTCTCTGTGCGTGTGTTTAGATTGTCGGCCTTGAAAGCTGGTACTAGCTCACGCATGGCCAACATCTATCTATCTGATACACTTCGGTCGGTATCGACGTGTTTCGCTGTTTAAGAACAGTTCCACAATGTATGTCTATGTGTGTGTGTGTGTGTATGGTGTGATCAACACAGAGCCACTCACACGGACACTTGCCTGCCTCGACAAACACAGGCCTTCTCTAGGTCTTCGGGTGCGTGTGTGTGTGTGTGCGTGTGTGTGTGTAGGGGGGCGCTTTATCGGCTCTTTTGACGGGCGGATTGATGGCTGCCATACGGACGGCGGCACTTTTGGAGGGCAGACTACTGACTGCATGTGTGTTGCGTGACAATGAAATGAATGTATGTGTGTATCTATCTACCTATGCGGCGGAGGGCTGCAGCAAGCCATGCAGTCCAATCCAATCCAATCACCGCCCAGTCATTGCGGCCAGATGGAACCCAGCTACTCTCAGTCCGCACACGGACACACACACACTCAGACACGCATCAACATCCACAGATACCATCCAGTGCCCTCGCCTCTCGTCTAGCCTGGCTACATCCATTTATCCATCCATCCATCCAACCAAAACTCAGTCAGTCCTCATGGCTGCGTTTCTTGCCGCGCCCCTTGCCACATGCACCCGAGACGCTCTCACCATCGCTCTCGCCAACGCCTTTGTTGAGCCGGTCAGACCGCCGCAGCTTCGCGGCGTACTCCGACAGCGACATGCTGTCCTCCGAACCACCACCATCCTCCTCGTCTCGTCCACCGCTGTCAGCAGCCCTTCTGTTGCCACGTCGGCGAAGCTGCATGTAGGCGGGGTCGGATCTGCTGCTATTGTTGTTGAGGCGATTGTTTGCCCAGCCGTTGATCTTGTCACGCGCGGACGACTTGGCTACACGGGCGGCTCGTGGGGGCGGGAGGGTGGGTGTGAGTGGCGGGGGCAGGGGTGGGTCGTCGGGTGCGGGGCTGCGATGGGGGTGGTGAGGAGCTAACAGGTCATCTGGCGTCGACTCGGACGCGTCGGTCTCGGGGGTGAGTTCTGGTGGAGGAACCACACCACAACACGCACACAGAGATGGTTTGGCTGATCGGTCCGTGTTTCTCGCACCTCTGTGTGCCTGGTCTGTGCGTGTGTGTACCTTGGTGCTTGCCCGGTGTGTCCTCGACTGTCTCGGTAGCGGTGCCCTTCTTGCCGCGAGGGCCCTTGGTGGCCACAGGACCTGCAGCCATGATAAAGGTGAGGTGCAGTGTGTCCATCCATCCATCCATCCATCCGTATCATGACATACATACCCATGTCGCTGCCGAGCTTCTCTACTGGATGCTGGTCGTAGAAGCGGGCCTGCACCTGCACCAGACAGCCTTTGGGTGTTCTCTTCGCCCACGAACACATAACATACCTGGTCGAAAAACCGCAGAGCCTTCCTCCCATCCGCCCTGGCAGCAGCCCCCTCACACACAATCGGATTTTTCTCACCTACATCTACAACACCAGCGGCAGCAGCGGCAGCAGCCGCCCCACCGACATCTCCCTGCTCCCCATCAGCACCAGCCCCTGACTCGCCCTCCGCACCAGCGGGAGGCACCCCATTGGTAGGTGGCGATGGCGACCCGAAGTATGGAAATGCGTGTGGCGGGTTGGGGAGCGACGGGGAGGAGCTCATCAGACAAGGAAGAGGGGCCGACTTGGCGGGGTCCAAACCACCTGATGGCAAATTCGGTCCGTATCTTCACTCTGCGTCTGTGGCTGCTGCATACCGCCTTCATCGGAGTCTCTGCGAAGCCGTGTTGGCGAGAGGGACAAGCGCTTCTTGTACCGACCCGGTTTGGGGGGCGTCGGTGGATTAGGCTCGTCCTCCCCGTCACCCGACACCACAGCACCGAACCGCTGCGGCCTCTCGTCCTCCTCGGCAGCCGCCTCCCCGTCATCCCCCTCACCGTCACCCATCACACCGATGGCAGGCGAACCGAACTCGGGTGTCGGCCTGACTAGCCGGTCGTCAGCGGCCGCACCGGAAGAGACCTCGCACGCAGTTGCAGACGCAGAGGCGGATGCCGACATGATGGCGCCGAAAGCGCTGGAGAGGCGGGGCGGGGGGAGAGGGTCCGGATCGTCGGCTGCATCGTCGCCATTGGCAGGCTCGTCCTGGTCGAGGGGTGGCTCTGGTGTGGCTTCGGGTGTGGGGGGCTTCGTGTGGTCGATGAGGGGGAGAATCGTGTCGGTCGTGTCAGACACCTGCAGGCGCAGAACAACAACAAGCATGCACAGAGAGATTGCGACGCTCCCCATCCCACCCCTTCTCATCCTCACCCACCCATGCCTCCTGCATGGCGTCCTCTCCCCCACCACCCATCGTCGGGTCGACATCCGTCCCGGCATGTTCGTCCGCACAGTGGGTCAGCAGCTTGCGGCTGTCCGTGGTGAAGAAGCCGCACATGGGGGCCGGGCAGTGCCAGTGCAGAAACGACTCCTCGGGCAGCGTCAGGCCATCAGGCTGGGCTGCCTCGTCATCGAGAGGAGATGGCTGCTGTGTGGCCTTGGTGCGCTTGACGCCCCCGCCCTTCTTGCGCGGCCGGGGGATGCCTGCGAATGGGAAGCCGCTGCGGTCGTCCTGAAGGAAGCCACATGCAGCACAGGGGCAGAGAGGTGACCGGCAGGATCCCTCTCGGCTTCGTCGATAACATGCTGACGTACTAATCCGCAAGGGAAGCACGTGTACTTGCCCACTCTGACGGTCTTGGCGAGATGGACGTCCGTGTAGTGCTTCAACACATCGGTCCACTTGGACTTGGGAGGGTAGATGCGCTTGTCGCACAGCGGACACCTGCCATGCATCCGCCCAGTGCAAACAGCCCCTTCAGCCATCAGATCGGCACACTCAGCATGTATGTGTCAGTCCATACCTACCTGTACTTGGGATTGGTCTTGGCGCCCTGCCTGAGGCTGGGATGCTCGAGCGGGTGGTGGTAGAGCTCCGCTGTGAGGACGGTAGTCTGCGTCAGCAGCTGCATCTCGTCCGTCACTCCAGCTTCAAGGCTTCTCGCGGGCTGCTCCCCAGACATGCTCACAGAACACGCAGCCGAAGGCTGCTGACGTGGCGAACGTAATATGGACGAACGTACTGTCAGAAGTGCAAGTCGGTCCAGGGTTTAGGGCCTAGGGTTCATAGACCGACGATCCACTGATCTGTGAGACAGGACGGCTGTTGAGTCTTTGTCCGTTC